TCCAGAATCCTGGATTCTATAGCCCTGTCTCCGACACAGCCCAGGGTTATTTCCAGAAGCGAGCATCCTAGCCATGGGTGCTGAGGACATATTTTTAATTTGAAATGCATATGCAGCAAACTTGGTGTGATGTCATGAGAGACCCCAGTGACCTCTCTCTGGGGCCTGGCTACAGGACTGTCATACAGGGAAGCTCTGCATTTGCTGCTGCTCACTGGCACCTTCCACTGTAATACTGCCAATTGTACATAAATTTCATTAACTCCTTTCCTACCACAGAGAAGCCTGGAAACCACGGTGACAAGACTTCTAAGGTCTCTCCCAGCTCTACTATAATACTTCACTATCCACCAGGTTGTATTGACCACACCCTGGACTTAAAGACTATCGAAAGACAGGTTTGTATTTTTTGTTGTTCTTTTTTTTCTTAATTTCTTTATTAAGGTATCACATAATTGTCCTCAACCCCCAATTCCAATCCCCCACCCTCGCCCTCATGCCCCCACACCCCTATTGTCCTTGACCACTGGTAGGCTCATATGTGTGCACATTAAGTCCTTTGGTTGATCTCTCCCTTTTATCCCCACCCTCCCTTTGAGGTCCAACAGTCTGACCTTATCTCTGGGTCTGTTCTTGTTCCTCAGTCTATGTTGTTCACCATTTCCAAGGGGGAAAGTAGAAGAATATCATGTAAGGAAAAATATCCTGAAAGTAAATTACATCTAGAAAATTTGTACTTTAGAAAATTAATTGTAATGCTATCAGCAAGACACTTATGAAAACCACACATGGTGTCAAAACAAGCCAGACGAAAATCATTTGGGCAAAAAAATGAAAAAGGATCCCAAATCAAATTTATAGAAAATATTCCTTTATTTACTTTTGGTCGAGAATATGTTTGTATATTTTCAGGAAACAACTCTGAGACTATGTGGATTCTGGCACCAGAGAGGAATTGACAGGACTGCTCCAGCCATGAAGACAGAAGAGAAGCAGTCCAGAGATGGAATACACTGATGACCCCTTGCCATAATAGCAGTCAGCAGCTGTGTATCACTGCAGGTTGCCCAGGACCAAACCAGAGAGGGTTGGACCTGCATTACCACCATTTGCCCACCATCCAGAACTGAAATATCATTGTTGACATGTACACATAAGGAACTGCTTGACATTGAAACTGAGTCTCAAAATAACTGGTGGCCCAGAAAGAAGCTCACTACAGACTGATTCATATGCCTTTCAGTTTAACGAATATTGCTTGTCTCATTTTTGAATCTTATATTTCTAGTAGGACATGAAATACAGGTTTTGTGTCTTTTTTGTTTTGTTAATCCTCGCCCGAGGATATTTTCCCATTGATTTTTAGAGCTTGGCAAGGAGGAGAGACAGAGAGAGAAACATTGCTGAGAGAGACACATCAATTGGTTGCTTTCGGCAAGGCACGATGAGCAGGCCCAGGATCGAGCCTGCAACCAAGGTACATGTCATTGACCAGAATCCAACACAGGACCCTTCAGTCCGCAGGCCGATGCTCTATCCACTGAGCCAAACTGGCTAGGGCTGTGCCTGTCTTTATCACTTACCTTAACTACAGGCCAAGAGTGTCCATCTTTGTATCCTTTGTCCTTACAAGACCCATGAGATGGCCCTTCTCTCGGGCATAAATTCTGACAAGAGACTTCCACTCAATTGCACCTTGGCCACTGGGGCCTGTGTCCCGTGCTTGCTTCCATGTTTGACCAACCCCCCCATCAGCACGTGCCATCTATTCTGATAGACTCCTTGAATGTTTGGCCCCAGATTAACCACACGTGGTATAATTAAGGAGCTGTTGGCAGAGTGAGAAGGGTTCCCAGTGAGAGTTGGTCTTTGGCTCACACACAATCCAGAAGTTGGCTTAATATGAAGATAATTCTCAGTGGATTAAAGCAGAGAAAAACCCCACGGTCAGCAGGACGGGCCTACTACAGTCCTCATATTCACTATTTCCCCACCCCCCAAAGTTGGCCCCCTTCCAATTCCTCTCTCCCTCCCTCCATCCTGTAGAACCCAAGAGAAACGCTCTATCCCCAGCCTCATTCTCGGAAATACTGTTGTTATAAACAGCTCAACTCTGGCTGCTCTATATCTGGAAACTGATAGGAACACGGTAATGCCAAGACCATGTGGGGTAGAGCAGGAAAAATTAACAAGGGGGTAGCCCTCTCAGTTAAGGGCCCAAAGCACCAGCTCCAAGTGAGCCAGAAAACCACGGAGCCCCTCAACCCAGCCTCAAAACACAGGGTCCCCCTCTCTCCCCCACCCCCCGACTCCTCCTGCCAAGCCCTTTCACATACTAGTTGTGGCAGATTATATGTCTGTACCCAATTATTCAGTCTCCATCCTGTAGAACAATGCATTCTGGCCTGCTCCAACGTGACCTGCACTATATCCTGTGAGAACACCCTCACACACTGAGCTTGGTATGAGTCTCCTCCAACTCCTTTTCCTTCCTTCTAGAACAGCACGCTCCAGACCGGGGCTGCCCTTCAGCCTGGGTCCTGAGATGAAGAGATGCATGCAGCTGGGCCCCAGCCAGCGGCGGCAGCCAGGGTGTGCAATGTGGGTAAAGAGAAAACATGGTGTCAACCTCTGAGATCTGGGAATTGTTCTTGCAGCATAATCTGGCAGGAGCAGTTAATGTGCCAGGAGTCACAAACTCTGTGCTTGTGGGCAAACTGGAAGAGCGAAGCGGAAAGAATGTGTGAGTCACGGGACTGGCAAGGCTGTGGCAGACAGGAGGTAGCTTAAGGTTAGGCTCCAGTGTTAAGCTGATTATGAGTTAAAATAAAAAATGCTGTTTATGCCGAAACCGTTTTGGCTCAGTGGTAGAGCGTCGGTCTGCGGACTGAAAGGTCCCAGTTTCGATTCCGGTCAAGGGCATGTACATTGGTTGAGGGCACATCCCTGGTGGGGGGTGTGCAAGCGGCAGCTGGTCAATGTTTCTCTCTCATCGACGTTTCTAGCTCTCTATCCCTCTCTCCTCCTCTCTGTGAAAAATCAATAAAATATATTTTTTTAAAATGCTGTTTATGTGGTTAAACAGCAGAGACCAAGATTTTAATAACACAAAAGGACTATTTTTTTTACCTGAAAGCTTAACTACAAAGAAACATGTAGTTAAAGACAAAAATGTAATGACACCACCTCATATTTATTTTTATAATCATTCAACTTTTTCAAGATCTCTCAGGCACCAATCTCTAGTTGAGAAGGAACAATATTCTAAAATTTGGCAATTATTCACATTTTACGTCTGTGTTGTTGTTATTTTGGTCTTACTTTAAAGTGAAGAGAAATTATTTTTTATTTTAAAAGTTCTCTTTTTAAAACTTCTGCATTAGCTTCACAAACAATATAAACTTTTACAAAATTAATCAAATCTAATCATACCACAAAAATAATCACAATTTGTCTTAAAGAAAGTGACTCCTCTATGAACAAGGATTGACAGGGGTACAGACTGATTCCACAGACTACCTCACTGAATTTAATTTATTATGACTGAATCAGGAAATAGCCTTGCTATAGAGAATCATAAATTACAAGAGTTCTACTTAAAATTTGTTCTTATAGAAGAATTACAAATATTTGTGTATTACAAGAACTAACTATGTACTTTCAAGTTTGAATTTTCTGCCAAAGGATTTGATCGCGTGCCATCATGTAATCGAGAAAAAAGGAATCAATTGTCCATGTCAGTCATAATAGGAAATTGCACAATCCCAAGAATATGAGGAAGAAGTGTTCCTCTTTAATCTACTAGCAACAGATCCAACAAAAGAGACATCACTGCTTCCATAAAAAAAATATATATATATACTTCTACATGACATAAAATCAGCTTTGATTTTAGACCACACATTAGAGCTTCCTCTTGATGTGAAACTAATGACAATAGAGCAGCATTGTGGGGTTTGTTTTCCTCTTTATTATCAAACTGATTGCTAATGAGAAAACACACGGAGATTAGTAATGTAACTCAAATCTTTAGTCTTCTCTTTCCAACTCAAGTACCAGAATAACGACATTCCTTTCAATGTATTCTGACCATCAGATTATTTACTTTTTTGCCTTGAGAGTCCTTTGCCAAAGGAAACACACTGCCTGGCATTCTATATTAATCCTAATTCCCAGGTAGAAAATGAGACCGATGAAGTGTCATCTAAAAACACTGAGGATTATATTTTTAAAAACAAGACAATAATTTAGATTTTCTCCCTTACATTCTTCTCTATATTACCACAATAAAATATTTATCAAAGTTAAAGAGATCATTGATACACAATAATGACCAATGACTTCACATTAATGGAGTTACCAATAACTCATTAGTGAAGTAACTGGAAAAGAGTTCAAATGGAAAGCATGATTCACTATTCTGTTTACACAGTATTGAAAAAAACCATAACACTTAAACACTCAAAAATTTCTAAGCAATATTAAATAATAATTGATAACTCTGAAATACTGCAACATCTTGAGGTACCTGCTGAATGACCAAAGACAGAAAATAGTTTGGTATAACTCTAAGTTTTTACACAGAACTATATATTTTTAAAATTGGTAATCCACACAAAACCATTAACTGACTAGACTATTCAATAAATAGAGCTCCACGTAGCTTTGTTATGAACTAATGAGCTTATAATTCAATAAAATAGCTTTAAGAAGTTCTAGTCTACAGAATGATATATTCCAATTGTTTGGTCCTGTTATTAACAAAAAGACGTTGTTAAATTCCTCTCAATATCATCTTGAAAGGGCCTGATTTGATTTCTGTCGAAATATAACACAAATAACGTGTAAGCCTGCAGTCTCTAGTCTACGGGTTCGTCATGAATTTCAGTTCAGAGCAACCCAACATAGCGACATCCCCATGAGTGTGCCACTACAGTGCCAACTCTGGCGCTTCCCACAAAGGGTCCTGTCCTTCTCTAAGTTTTGAGTGGGACAGGAAATTAATAATGGCATGTGGTGTTCCTTAGCATAACCTGCCAAAAGGTGATGATTTCCTTGGAAGAAAAGCCATGGGCTGCAATCACACGTCTGAGCTGACAGACATCCAAGTGAATCCTATACAGAAAGAAAAGGTTTGTGTCTTCTGGAATGTGAATGTCCACTTTCAATAGATTCAGACAGATCCCCACATAAACATCTTCAAACTTGAGGGGTTTTACGTGGCTCATCATCTCATAGATTTTTGGCACCAAGTCTCTGGACATCACATAACCAAACCCACTGCAGTAGGGAGGGAACACCTTGAAGGGATACTCCTGATAGGAAATATGGGCTTTCTGGTAAAATCCTCTATAGGAGTAATTATCAATGAGAGGATAACCGGTGAAAAACTTTTCTGACTGGTTTAAATTTACAAGATACTTGACTAAATTGCCAGTATTGACGAAGACATCCGTGTCTGTTTTCATGACGTACTTGGCATTGGGGCAAAACTCATTGACCCACCTGAATGCCATAATTGTTTTCAAGGTCAGGTTATTGTAAGTGTCTATGAAATCTTGTCGTATTATGTCCCCGTAGAGAAGGTTCTCGTCCTCTAGGGACAGCGATAACACTTTGTCTTCCCTTTCAGCCTGTTGGCCTAGTAAGAAAAATGTAAGAACCTCATATCCCCACCAAGACTTTTTTTCGCCCCACGTAACTCTAATGGCCTGCCTGGCTTTCACATCGGAGGGGTGTGAGGTCACCAGGATGACAAGAAATGGGTTTTGCTGAGAGCAGTTTGGATGCTCTTGCGTGAAGCGAAAGTCTTGCCTGTAAATGGGCTCATACTCATAGAAGTACATCCAGTTCACGCGCTCGATCACATTGTACTGGGGCAGGCTGAGGTACCACATCACGAGGAAGCTCAGGAGGGACAGCAGCAGGAGGCTCCATTTGAGGGATCTCAGTGACATCCTACTGGGGAGTGTGGTTCAGAGAGCCAGGGACATACACAGCAGCTCAGAAGCACGTGGCTCAGCTTCTGGAAGATGGACCAGAGACCCAGGTTAGTAATCCGCCACCCAAAACAAATTTTCTTTCTTTTCTTTTTCTTTTTTTTAATATATTTTATTGATTTCTTACAGAGAGGAAGAGAGAGGGATAGAGGGTCAGAAACATCAATGAGAGAGAATCATCGATCAGTTGCTTCTTGCACACCCCCTACTGGGGATGTGCCCGCAACCAAGGTACATGCCCTTAACTGGAATCGAACCCGGGACCCCTCAGTCCCCAGGCCGATGCTCTATCCACTGAGCCAAACCGGTTTTCGGCCCAAAACACATTTTCAATCGATATCTGATCATCTACTGAAGGAGGAAGAGCAGGAGAACAAAGCTCCAGGCAAACCCCCAAATTCCAACCCGAATCTTATTAATGTCATTCGACTGTAAATAAGTGGATACCAACAACCAAAAATATAGTCGAGCTTTTTACATCAAGATAAAGATTAAAAAATTCTCGATTATTTTGGAAAGTTAATAGTTCCTGTTTCACATAAATAACTGTTGCAATCTGTCTCCTTCTAACAGAGCAGCACATGTTAACAAGTCTGGGACAAACGGGAGGAAAGGGTCCGGAGTAAAGAGTCGTTTATGATGGCATATAGGCAGCGGAGGCCCTGTTACTCTTCCACAAGGGGGAGAACTCAAAACAGCAAATCTCATCACAAAAGTTACTTACGGGCGTTTCATAAGCCGCGGTGTCCAAATGAGAAAATGTGACTGTGGTTATGCCGCCTATGGGACCCCCGAAGGGAATAAAGCAGCAGCAAAAAGCAGAGGAACTATTAGTCCAAAAGGCAGAAAGGCCTCTCAAGGACTGGCCGGTACAGAATTCTGGCTTCCTATCACACAGGTGGGAGGGGGCCAGGGTCTACAGCCCAGCTCCTCCCTTCACCCACAAGGCAAGCATGTATGTCATTTACCTCTTGGGGCCTCAGCTCCCTCCTCTTTACATCCTGAAGATGTTAATACGGGGCAAGGGGCAAGTTAGTGCGAATGTGTGCAAAGTATGTGGCCAATGTTAGGTATTCAACAAACAGGGCTGCCATCACCATCTGTGTTCTACCCCTGGCATCTTTTCCATCCTATTTGTGTCCCTAAATTGGTTTTTACTGTCAAAGGGATCATTCTAAAGAAATAATCTTGCCGAAACCGACTGAAAGGTCCCGGGTTCGATTCCGGTCAAGGGCATGTACCTTGGTTGCGGGCACATCCCCAGTGGAGGTGTGTGCAAGAGGCAGCTGGTCGATGACTCTCTCATTGACATTTCTAACTCTCTATCTCTCTTAATTCCTCTCTGTGTAAAATCAATAAAATATATTAAAAAAAAAAAAAAGTACTTTGCAAAGTTTAAAAAAAAAGAAAGAATCTTGATGAATTCTTACTACCTGAAGAAAAGGGGGTTTCGAAGCCATAAATATATTTCTATTATTACCTTCTTCTTCTGGATTTCTTTTTTCTGAGCGAGTGGAAGTCCTTCAATTTCACCAACTGAACATTCAGTAGTAAACAGTAGTCGTCAGAATGCTTGAAATTTCTGTAACATACAGAAGAAACGGCATTGACATATGGATCAGGGGACAAGGGAGGTCAAAGAGGGGAAGGGAGACTTATAACTTGAAATAAAAAGTTTAAAGAAAAACACTGTTGGTCTACAGAATTCAGAGTTCCTGACTTCATGACGGAAGAGGTGGCTGGCATTCAAGACTTAAAATCTCTAAGTTCTCACGTCAGCTGGTGTCTCCTGTCCCTCCACGACAGTCCTACTTCCCCCTCAGAGCCCTCAGCAGCCACCACAGGAAGGAAAACATGGCCCTTCTGAGTGACACTGCTGTAACTCTGTCCCTGTAACCGCTCTGTAAAGTGACTGCAGGGATTCCTCCCACTCTCAGCGGCGTGGCTGTCGGTGTGGAAGAATGAAGGAGGTGTGTTGGCGAAGAGGGGAAAAAGAGACTAACCGCAAATACTATAAAATAGTTGTTCCTTCAGGCTGATGGAAGCAGAGGCATTCTCATATATTTATAGGTTTCTTTATATTTGAAATTTGTCCCAAAATAGGAAGAAAATGCGTAATAAAAATGCTTGGATATCAGAGCTACATGGCCCATCCTACATCGTGGCTGCAACACTTAACGACTGTGTGCCCCTTGGGGAAGTGATTTCTCTTCATAAGAGTTTTCTTTTTTTCAGTTACAAGCCAAGAATCCCAATACTAATTCAGTCAGTCCCAGGTCTGTGGGGGAGAAGATGGATTGCCCAGGCAGCTCAGGGGCCCTCAGCAATTTCCGAAGTGGAATGGCACGCAGGCACGCGCACGGATGCACGCCTTATGATGTCATGGGAATCACGCTGGCCTGGCCTCAGGTCTGGGATGGACTCAGAGCTCGGTGAACCCTGACTTTGTTCTAAATCCCGAATCCCAGGGGGAGGGACAGGAAGAAAACCCGGAAACACAGAGGAACAAAAAAATAGAAAAAGGCCAACAGAGAAACAGACCATGATTGCATTACTGACATTTTAATAATAATGTCACATATCACTACCAAGAAATAAACTACATATGGATTATAATTTAAAAGCAATTTCCATTTTATTAAAGATAAACTCATGATTATGTAACTACACGTGCATTCATTCCCCAACTGGATTCCACCTCATCTACTACATTAAGCAAACATCCTCTCCTATCCCACAAGCCTAGCGCAGTGCTGGCTACACAGCAGCTGCCAGTGATTACTTGTTGATTGGGCGGTTGATCCTCAACAGCTGAAAAAATATCTCAACTAACAGAGAAGCCCAGAAAACCTCCCGAGACAGAGCACGTAAGCTTCCAGGGTATGAAGCGTGCCAAGGCTGCCACCACCAAAGGAAACCATTCTCCCAGACTAGTCATAGGCACCTCCGTGATTAATGCCAGAACTCATTCCCCAGTCCAATCCCAGGCTGAGTCTATATCTTATCAACAGGTGTTTTAGTTTCAAAAGGGCTCTGTGGGCAAAAGAATCCAGCTTAAACTATTAATTTTGAATGGAGGGCTCCTCAAGAGTTTTCCATGTTAATGTACGTTCTCTCAGAAGAGCATATATTATGCAATGCTTCCCAAATTTGTCTGAACAAAGAACCCACTTTAATTCTCAGCGTCTGTGGCAGGACTAGAAGAATCCCACTTTGGGAAAGCCTGTCCTAGAACATCATGGCAATCACTGAATTAAGAAACTAGTTTCCGTGAATCCCATATAATAAAACCCTAATATGCAAGTCATATGCAAATAGACTAAACGGCTGAACGGACCAGCAGAATGACTGGTGGCTATGATGCGCACTGACCACCAGGAGGCAGATGCTTGACACAGGAGCTGCCCCCATGGTAGTCAGGGGGAATGCCACTCAGCCAGGGGGAATGCCACTCAGCCAGAAGCCAGGCTCAGGGCTGGCGAGCGCAGTGGCAGTGGCAGGATCCTCTCCCGCCTCTGTGGCAGCGCTAAGGAGCAGCGAGCAGCGGGCAGTAAGGAGAAGCCAGCAGGTGAACGGTAAGGAGCGAGGGGTCCTTACCGTTTTCTTAAGGAACTGTGGGCTTGGGCTTAAGTCTGTATCACTTCTATAGCAATTTACAAAGCACGGTGACTATACTGTACAATAAGCGGAACCACCCCATTTTTCAGAAACCTGTGCAGTCCAAGTACAGGCCCACCTCCAAAGGCTGGTGGTCCCCTTCTCCAGAGCACAGTGCCACAGAAGCCCCAGCTCACATCCGATCTACAGCCTCCTGAGATTCCTGGGCAGGGAGCAGAGCGTGGAGCAAAAGTGGACTTACCTCTGCACTCAGGAGGGGGTGATCTGAGAGAATGCCATGACAGAGCAGCCTGCGGGAAGAGGCAACAGGAGGGCCAGATCCGGAGAAGCTAGGGAAACTGGAGCAAAGATCACACCCATCAGGCAGAACAGCAGAAGGCTGGGCTTCTGTCATTTGCCTGACAGCTCTACCAATGGGAGGACATTTCATTCCCTCATTCTGTACACTGAACAGGTGTGGTTAGAGCAAACACTTCCAGACCAGCACCCTGTTTTATATGCAAATCCGCTGAACGAGGCTGGGGCTGCAATGGGGAAGATGACAGACAAACCCTGCCCTCAAGCTGCTGCACGCCCGTGGAGAGCAAAGAGGAAGGCTCTTATCTCCAAGCAGCGCACCAAGTGTAATGAGTAAAGCTCCCCTGGAGAGAGAGGGTGAAGGGAGACCTCTCTCCTCAAACGTCTCCAAATGAGTGGGCAGCCTCCTTGGCGAGGAACTGAGTTTGCAACTCTCAGATTGTGTAGATGCTCAATTAATGTGCAAATTACAGGACCAGTGTCAGTTTAGAAAACCACTGAATACTAAGAGGTAAGAGTCAATTACCATTTTTTATCTTAGAAAGTGGGTAACTCCATCTTTGAAAACAAAGTCTGTTATACCAAAATAGTAGCCAAATACAGTTCCAGATAAGAGACATGGTTTGAGCCGGACCGGTTTGGCTCAGTGGATAGAGCGTCGGCCTGTGGACTGAAAGGTCCCGGGTTCGATTCTGGGCAAGGCCATGTACCTTGGTTGCGGGCACATCCCCAGTGGGGGGGGTGCAAGAGGCAGCTGATCGATGTTTCTAACTTTCTATCCCTCTCTCTTCCTCTCTGTGAAAAATCAATAAAAAATATTAAAAAAAAAAAAAAAAAAAGAGAGAGAGAGAGAGAGAGACATGGTTTGAGTCCTCAGTCATAGGGAGGGTAGGTGGCCACAGACTTGTCTAAGCACAGCTTAGGAGTTTAACAAAATTCTATGTTCTAGTCCAGAAGTAGGCAATATTAAAAAAATAAATAAAAAGCCAGACAGCAAACATTTTCTGTGTGAGCCACATGGTCCTACTCAATTCTGCCTTTGT